GAAGCAGAAGCTGGAGAGATGGTGCAGTGAGAGGAGGCAGGGAAGAGGTTAAGGGCCGGGATGACTTTGTGAGCACTGAGAAGCAGCAGCACAAGGTTTTTACTGTCCCATGGCGGCAGGGAGGGTGTGACAGAGAGCTAAACAGTGCCGGATGGCCTCATCGGAAAGCAGCCCCAGCTGACTCACCGGCTGAGTCACAGCCTTGCCCAGCCTCTATTCTTTTCCCAATCAAGGAAACAGCAACTTCCCACAAACTTCTTTTAAGGCTGCCATTTGGATGCTGAGCATTCCCGCACCGACCCTCCACTCTTGACAATCCCCTTCCATCCCTTTCCATGTCTGTAACGCAGCAGGAGGCACAATCCTTCAAAGAACATGATGTCCAGAGGGAGGAAACATGCTGTAGCCTCTCCAAAGCAGAAGCAGGATTTATTGCTGCTCAGCCCCTGCAAGCTGTGCCCTGGACAGCAAAGGACAGGCTCTTACAGAACGGGAGGCAAGGGGAAAATACAAGCTGGGAGATTTCCATTCCAGCACTGAACCTCTGCCCTGCCCAGGGAAGATGCTCATGTTCATGGTACCACACTGCTTTGAAAGAGGAGATTGCACACCCTGATGCTGTACTTGAAGGGTGGGCAGAAGATAGCCCCAGAGCCTACAGTGGGAGACCCAAAAATTCAGGAAAGAAAATTGCCTCGACTAAATTCCCATCTGGATTCAGAAACAACCAGTGAAAAGCAAAAATTATGAGTAATGTTACAGATGGAAGAAAGGGGAACCAGATAGCAAAGAGTATACGTGAGAAGTCTGAAAGGACAGAAAAATGACACAGGAAGCAGGGGGAAAAATCCCTGCACTGGCAAAGCAAAGAGGGAGTTTTTTAAGTCTGTTAGAAACGTAAGCATTCTTCATAATGCTACAGGCCAAGAAGTAGATGAGAAAAACATTAACAAGGTTCCAAAGAGGCACAAGGTTTCTATAAATGTTTCTGTTCTCTTTCAAGACCCAATGGCTTTTGCAGTCTTGTAATAATTTCAGAGAAGGACCAGCACTTAGGAGAGACCTGCATCCTAGAGCACTGAGATAACCAAAGAATATTGGTCTTCTCGTGCAATCCACAGGCAATGAAAAATCGCACCAAGAATATGTACAGGTACCATAAAGAATTTGGGACGGTAACCAAGAGGCCATGCCAGTTACACCAGTGACAGATTTATTTTCAAGACACATGCATTTAACGCAGCCAAACAGGTTTATTCATCTCAGCTCAAAGACTACATGGAATTTTCTAATCCAGAAAGCAACAACCCTGAGAAGGATTCAAGAGTCACGATGGACAAGCACCCGGACTCAAGCACCCAGTAGAGTGGTAAGGGGAAAAAGGCCAGTGTGATCCTCGGACAGATAACAGCCTACAAAGCTGGGGGAGGAAAGTGATCTTATCTCTCTATTCACATTAGTGGAGCTGATGTTGAAACGGTTCTTATACTTCTGATGTGGATAAATTGGATAGAGAGCAAGAAAAAGCCCTCAAATAATTGGTGGGAGGAAGGAAACAATTCTAAGAGACTAGAAGAGTTCAGTCTGCTTGCCTTATCCAAAGGCTGTTGCAAGACTAAATTACAAAGTATAAATACCTGGTGAGAAAACAGGCTTTTAAAATTACCAGAGAAAGGCACAACAGGCACCCGTGGTTGGGAATAAAGCCAACTGAAATTAAAAATAAGGTGCAGTTTTAAACTGTGAGGATAATTAATCACTGGAGGAAATGATCAAGGGTGGTGGTGACTTCTCCTGCTTTTCATGTTTTCCATGCAGTACAGGATACCTTTCTAAGAACGGCCACAGCCAAATTGCTCAGCAGAGGAATAACTGTGTGTGCATCCACGGTGCCAATTACTGTGTGCAAAGAGATCCAAGGCTTAGTGTGCCACAGGGAGAAAGAAGTCTTCAGCCTTGAGTTGTTTTGTGATGAGGGCAGCCGTGGGAAGGGGGAAGGCCTGGGGTTTTGTTATTACCTGGTTGTTTACATTATCTGATGACATTTTAATGCATAATCCTGGAATCCAGGAATTCCCTCTTACAGATGAGCATTTCACTTGGGCTCCCTTCTACGCACATGCTCTCTTTCTCAAGGAATCTTTAATTCCCCCCCTTCCACTCAGCTGGTCAGCTTCAAAAGCACAAGGAGAGCGTCCCTAAATATCGAAGCAGCCTTGAGCTGCCTGATGGACAAGGCAATGCTTCTCCACATGCAGGGTCAGCCCTGCTCAGGAAAGGGCTATGGGACGTGCACCAGAGGGGCTGGGAGGCTGATCATGGTATCTACAAGTGCCAGATGTGCTCTGAGAATAATTATTGGATGAAAGTTCTCTGAGCACTTGAGCTAGGGGATATATCCTGTTTCTGTTAGGCCTTGGTGTGAGCAGGATGCTAAAATTCTTAGACCTAAACTGTCAAACAAGTTCAATTTTGGGCAAAATTGTATGTTTAGAGATCTTTAAAACCAAACATTGTGGACCTGTGAAGGTTGGGTGCCTCTGCAACAAGACTGAGTAGGGATTTTCAGATGTCTGGACTCAGGCACCTCCACTCCACCAATAACCTTCTATAGCGCCCAAGTCTTCTAAGGAAACCAAACTTTTGACCATAAAACACTTCTGTAGCTATTTGTACTTCACATTGATACACACAAGTTGGGGGAAGGGAAGCACCTGGGGGTTGTGGGGAACAACTTTGGCCAAAGACACTAAGCCAGTCTTTCACTATTCAAAGAATCATTGTATCTGCTCAGAGCAGGGACTGTGCTAGTTTTTTAGCTCTCATCTTCAAGTAATCCTCCACAGAGAGAAAGCTTGCCATCTTACCCAATAGCAGAATTATTTTTACTTTTTGAGGTCTTTAATCAGGACTTGATACCTTTTGCCAGACAGATACTAAAACTGAACAGCAGGCACTGCTCTCCGGACATGCTACTGAGCAAAATACAACATTCTGCTGCACCAAGACAGTCAAATTAGCATAATAGTTCCTCCTGATTTAAAGTCCACAGATTTATAATCTATTAATAACACCCACCATCATAGGATGACGCACTGATTTCGGGCTGCTGTGATCTGCAGCCCAACCGTACTGAATTCTCAACTGTCCAGCTGGGAAGCCAGACTCCTCTGCGATGTATGGTCTTGAGTCTAAACTGCCTGTAGTGAAATTAATCATAAACCCATTTCGCGGGGCACAGACCAAGGCTTGCAGATAAGAAAACGCAAAGGTGGATGCTTGGTTACTGACAGGTATAGCCCTTAGGAAATGACACAGTAATTACTGTTACTATTTACCTGACTTCTAAGTGAAGCTTAACATTTATGACAAGTTGCTTAAAATAGCCAGTTTCTTTGTATACCAAGGGCCTGCATCTTCCAAGTGCTGTCCCTGACGGCTTGCTGACCCAAAGGGTGTAATTCACATTGTTGCTGTAGCTCTCTGGATAGTGGTATCTTTGAGGACCTCTTGTGGACTCTCTTCTAAATTGCATGCTTGGGAAAATGTTTCCGTGTTAATTTGTAGATACGTCAAAGAGCTTTTTACTCCACATGGCCTCATGGAGATTTGCAGAAGTTGGATGATAAGATGCAACTAAAAGCAAAAGCAAACACAAGAGAGAAACTGCATTTTCAGAGGGGGAATTTAATGCCCGAGTGATGGCTCATTTACACTTCGGCTTCTTTACAGAGACAGCAATGCATACACAATGTAAAGTTCTTCCTAAGGGGGGCAGAGACCTGCTAACTGATGGTCAGGCTGAGGCTGATATTGCTAACACAGGCTTCTGAGTAAAGAGAATGGCTGTGAGGTATTCCTTCTTCCTCCGGCTGCCTTGTTTCTGCCTTTCCCCATCTTCCCCACAAGGATCCCAACACTATCACCTTAATCCCTCTTCCATGGCGGCTCCCTCATCATTCCAGCCCCCCTTGCATCGACACCCAGGGTGAGCACTTTGAAGCCATGAAATGCTGTTTCTCACAACTAACACATCGCTCTTTTCCAAGCCTCCTACATCAAGCAGAGCAGCTTCCAGGCAGACTCTTCTGGGATGTGCAACTTGCAAGTCTATTCATGAGCTCCTTCGTGAGAGAAGACCCAACAGTGGCTTTCATCAGTAGGTTACAGTTATGGCTGCAGCATGTCCTGAGGCCTTCTCCCTCCGCCTGCCTGTCCCCTGGCTTCCCCTCACCGCACCGGCAAGAGCCCCGCGGCCTGCACAGGCTGCCGAGGGGAGGCCTTGCCCGGGCAGGACCAGTGCAGGGCCACGGCCTAGTAGCACCTCAGGGCAAGGCCCTTCTCAAGGGCAACCCCTGGTCCGCAGGACGGCGCCACAAGCTCCCTGTTCCGAGCTGGCCGCGCCCGACC